GTCTTGCATTTCCCTAATGACCCTGGGCGCTGAGCATCTTTTCCTGAGTTTATTGGCCGTTGTGTATCTTTGGGAGAATATCTACTGTTTTCCTTTTTAAAAGCTCCTCTGCTGTAGTTCTGAAGTCAGAATTACGTGTGCTTTCTGTGGCCTCCCTTGACCTGCTGTCGGTCTCACCGGCTCCCCTTTCCCCGCCTTCCCAGATCGGAACCAACCAGATGGCCGTGTGTGCCAAAGCACAGAACAAGCCCTTCTACGTGGTGGCGGAGAGTTTCAAGTTCGTCCGGCTCTTCCCACTAAACCAGCAAGACGTCCCAGACAAGTTTAAGGCAAGAGCTTTACGTATTTGAAGGGGTTGAATCTAAACTGAAACTTCTGAAAAAATGCTGAGAATGCGTCAGGGAGTTATTCCCTTCCCGTGGCTGTGTCTTCCGACATCGGGATAGAAAGATAAATTGGTGGCGGTGAGACAGAGTCTGACTGGGCCCCAGAATTCCAGCCTCTCGCACTCACCGAGCACTAAACGGGGGCTGGTGAACGGTGCAGCCTGGAGTCAGCTGCCTGGATCGGCTCCCTGACACTTCCTGCCCATGGGCAAGCCCTGTCCTCCTGAGCTCCGACCTCAGTGACCTGTGCAGGGGGAACAGCATGGGCAGAGTTAGCCGGTCAGAGACCACGCGTGGGCAGGCTGAGCGGTGTCCGCACAAGGCGGGCTGAGAATGGTTCTCGCGGGTCTGGAGGAAATGGCCCAGCTCATGGTGAGGGGACACGTGCTGTGGGCTTGTGGCCAGGCGGCTGCCATGACAGCCCCCCACAGCAGCAGCGCTCCCTTGTCAGTATGCCGCCCAGCTGGCTTCTTCCCATTTGGGGAGAGTGGCCAAGGCAGCCCCACCCCCCAACTGCAGAGCCCTGAGCACTTGGTGGGCAGACTAACGCGTGCTTGCTGTGTCCACAGTACAAGGCGGACACGCTGAGGTCTGTGCAGACTGGACAGGATCTCAGAGAGGAGCACCCGTGGGTCGACTACACGCCCCCCTCCTTGATCACACTGCTGTTTACAGACCTGGGGGTGCTGACGCCCTCCGCCGTCAGCGACGAGCTCATCAAGCTGTACCTGTAGGTCTTCCTGTACCTACAAGCTGTACCTACAGGTGCCTTCCTGCCTCGAGGTGACACAGCTGCAGCGGGGGAGGAGCCTCTGGACCGCACGTGAGCCAGGCCAAAGGGAACTGTTTTCATGAAGATTTATGGACTAAGGACTTAAAATCATAATTTTGGTGGAGTTTTTATTCTTTCCAGTCCTGTTTAAACATGTTCCCGGTTCCTGTGAAACTCAACCTAAATTATACTGATGGTTCCCAGACACTGTCACTTCTGTTTCTAGAAATACACGTTAGACTATTGACTACTTAACCCTCCACACCCCTCCCCTCGCCCTCTGCCTGCAGTGATTGGCCTCGGCCGTTAAGAGGATGCAGGCCGCTGACAGAGCAGGCGTTCCTCACTGCGCAGGCCCCGAAGCCCGCGGTGCCTCAAGGGGCAGAAACACCCGCTCAGGTAGCATCGCTTCCCCTGGTGAACACGAGCCAGCGCAGCCTGGACAGCATGGAGCCAACGGAGCAGCTCACCGCCGATGCCGCCGTCCAGAATGCTCAGAAACGAAAACTGTGTCTGTGAAAGATGTGGAGCTTAAAGGTTTTGGACCTGAACGTTTAGAAATTGTACTTGGGAATACGCTCAACATCTGTTCAAATAAGTAACACGAAACACTGACTGGTCTCACTCAGTGCTGTGAGCTGAGCCAGGCCCCGCTGTGGAGACACGTACATATACAGTGTAGTCGATTAGAAGGAAACAGTTTATTCAACAGAAGGCGGCATCTCTCCCAAAACATGACTAGCTGCCTCGATTTCTCAGATACTCCCCAACGACAGTCCTGGGGACCGTTCTTAGGACAGAAAGAAAACCCTGGGCCACTGGCCGCTCTGTGCTGTGCCCTGTGCGCTGCACCAGAGGGAACACGTGGCCCCCGCGCCTGTGTTCCGTGTACTGAACCAGAGGGAACACAGTGCAGGGGCGGGGCACCCAGGGAGCTTGGGAGCCTGAAAGCACTAGGGAACTTTAAAAAGCCTGAAACCAAGTCTATGCCAGCATCAGTGCATTAAAAGTAAGTATAAAATAAGCCCAGAAAAAATGAGCTCTTTAATTATAGGCGACCCGTCAAATAAATAGACATCTATTATTTACACCAAGTAACTTCCTCCTCCTGTTGGACCTCAGGCTGGTATGTCTGTAAAACGTTCAGGACGTGAGAGCCCCTCCCACCTCCTCCCCAGCCTGCAAGTCGGCCCGCCTGCCGGGTCTGATCGCCAGAAAGGACGTGCACTCCCCGCTCACCTGAGGCCCCGGAATCAGCCGTCCCCCTCCACATCCGAGGTCCCCAGACCCACTGTCCTGATGGGCCCTTTGGCACTCGTCAGCAAGCCCTTCTCCAGCTCCTCTTCGGTGATCTTGCCTTTCTTAAACTTCTTCAGCAGCCGCGTGTCATTCAGAAGTTCCTCCATGTCCTCGTCCTCCAGGTCAGAGCCCTGCGTGCAGGAGAGACCAAGCCCCGAACGCCTCAGTGACAGCGATCCGGGGGAGTAACACGCTCTCAGATGGGCTCCCACGAGCATAGGGCGTCCCCGTCACCACGTAACAGAACTGAGCTCCCCCGGCAAGTCCCATCAGAAGACACTCCCTCCAGGGCCCGGCTCAGAATTCCAAGGCAGAGAAGTCAAACCCCCGCTTTACCTCCTCCCTTTTCCTTTTCTTATTCATTTTCTTCTTCTCCCTTTTGGCCTTCTGCTTCGACCAAGCTTTATTTTTCACGAATCTTCTCCTCCCTTCGCTTTCCGTCTTCTCCTTCCTCTGCTGCTCCAGCAGCTTCTGCCGCTGCTTTTCCCTGATCTTATCTCTGAATGGAATGGTGTCCGTGTTGACGTCCACGGGCACGAAGTCTGGAAACTGCTTTCCCCTCAGCTCCGGCATCTTGGGCATCCTGAGCAGGGCGAAGCCTCGCGCCAGGGCAGCAAAGTCCAGATCTGTTCAAACAAGCACCAGGGTGAGACCGGCCCACGGGAGGTTCCAGCGGATCGTTTTTCTAACCAAATGATCTCATGATCTCATTGTAACTAAAGTAACTGCGTTTGTACTAAGAAGGAACACTCAGCAGCCAGCTCATTCCTCTACCCAAGCCCTAGGAGGCCTCCCCGTTAGATGTTTAGAAACAACCCCCCCGACACATGCCCAACATTTTATGAGACAGAGCAGCCTCGTGCCTGGGTGCCTGCGGAAGCGCAGCCGCCTCGGACAGACACAGCGCGGGCCGACGCCCGACTCACCCTTGAGTCTGAAGATGAGGCTGCACTCGTGCTTGGCGTAGGCCTGGACGAAGGACACGAAGGCCCGCATGCCCTTCTCAAACACGGCCCTGTCGGCCAGGGCCATGGCCCGCAGCTTCGGGAGGAGGTCCGCCGTGTGCTTCTGTGGCTGCATCTCCTGCAGGGGGCACTGCAGAGCCCACACTCACTTCCTGGCCCCAAGGCTCCCCCAGAGCCAGGGCCAAGACGACCGAGGGCAAAACAATCCCCTTGCATCTCAGATCAGAGGCCGCGGAGCCCAAACCCAGCCCAAGTGCTGTCCTGGATCCGAAAGTATTTAAAATTTTACATGACCACCTGACTTCTGGTTGGAAAATACGGCAAAGCCAGGTCCACGTTCCCACCCTTGTCCACCAGGGGCACAGCTGGGGCTGAGCCGGGGCGGCCACCCGCGCGAGGAGGCGGGGGTCTCCCCCGGCCAGGTCCCCCCACTTCCATCACCAGCTGGGCCCTGTGAGCCTGCACCCCCATCTCAGTTCCCGACCACCTGCTGGGAAAGGGGCGAGAAGGCGGCTTACCTTTTGGTTGATTGCGAGGAAGTTGACGTAGGACTCTTCCATGGGGAGGAGGAACACCAGCGCGCTGCCGCCGTGGCCGATGCGTGCGGTGCGGCCACAGCGATGCACGAAGGCACTGCGGACACAGGACACGGCGCCTGTGACGTGCTGAGCCAAGCACAGGCCCGGGGCCGCCTGACCACAGCTCAGGCCCAGCCCCGCCCCTGACCAGTGTGGACACAGGAGCCTCAGCAACTACATATCCATTGCCAGCCAGACAGGACTCTGTGAGGCACTGAACACGACTACACGGTGTTTATATTTATGCTTATCTGGTGGTACAGGCTGGTATGGTCCTAGTAGAAAATTTGGAAAACAACAAAAAGTATAAAAAGATGAAGATGACCTGTGAGCTTCTCACCGACAAGGAACCATTATTACTGCTCGGTTCAGTCACAGGCATTTTCTACTTGGAAGCATTTATCAGTCATACATACTGTTTTCCTTAACCCTCTGAGTGCCAACCAATATCCCAGGAACTATGCTAAAATTGCCAAGGCATTTTTGCTGATTTTACAGTTTAGGAAAAAAATTATGAGTCGCAAGTAAATGAAGTTACATACTCAAAAACATAAGGAAACCTTTACATTTGTTTTCATCTTTGACATATATTTTTTGCTGACTGTATTATAAAATACTAGTAGAAAAAAAAAATTGCCGATAGTGCTCCCAGAACTTTTGGCGAAAGACAGGAGCGCAATCGCGCTCCCCAGCACTCACAGGGTTAAACATGTTATGTCCATTTCTGCAGGAATTTGTAAAAAGTTTTTGAAAATGCCATTAATTGCTGCAAAACCTGGTATCACTACGAAAGAGCCATGACACGCCCACTCACCTACTTTTAATGTTTAATTTTCAACTCATCATTTTATCTGCCCCGAGACTCCCATTTCTATGTGGTTCCTAGGAGGGCAGCGTTCGGTCGTGCAGTACCTGGCGTTGCTGGGGGGGTCGTACTGCAACACCCAGTTCACCTCGGGGATGTCTATGCCGCGGGCCATCACGTCGGTGCACACCAAGACCCCGCTGGAAGAAAGACAGTGCGTCGTGAGCGGGATGCCGCCCTTCCATCGCCAGCGCCTTTACGTCTCAGCGAGGACAACATGGGACAGGTTCTGGGATCTCACAGTGACCACAACATGCAGGTCCCTGTTCTTACGGAGCTTACAATCTCTCAGGGAAGCTAACAGCTGGCTGAGGAAGTCGGCACAGCAGAGTGGGCTGGGCCAGGACAGAGGGACAGGTGCGCATCTGCACAGA